CTCCATCAAAAGACCAAACCTGAGAAACATGGGCATTGAAGAAGGAGAAGAGGTGCAAGAAAAAGGAACAAGTGTCATATTCAACAAGATAATTACAGAAGTTTCCCAAATCTAGAGAAATCTATGCCCATACAGGTACAGGAAGCCTCCAGACCTCCAAACAGACCTGACCAAAATAGAACTACCCCTGACATATTATCATTAGAACAACAAGTACAGAAAATAGAGAAAGAATATTGAAGGCTGTAAGAGAGAAAAAACAAGTAACATACAAAGGTAAACCCATCAAAATCACAGCAGACTTCTCAACAGAAACATTAAAAGCAAGAAGAGTGTGGGGTGAGATCTTCCGGGCACTGAATGAAAATAACTTCAACCCCAGGATACTCTACCCAACAAAACTATCATTCAAAATAGATGGAACAATAAGTCTTCCATGATAAGCAGAAACTAAAACAATATGTGACCACAAAGCCACCACTACAAAAGATTCTTCAAGGGATTCTGCACACAGAAAGTGAAACCCAACATAACCATGAAAGGGCATGCAGCACCAAACTACAGGAAAAGAAAAAGCAAGAACACAGAGAGTAACCTCAACTTAGGTACCCACAATCAAACCTTCAAACAACTAAGACAACTAAATGACAGGAATCACCACATACCTATCAGTACTAACACTTAATGTTGATGGACTTCATTCCCCCATCAAAAGGCACCGTTTGACAAACTGGATTAAAAAGGAAGATCCAACAATTTGTTGCTTACAGGAGACCCATCTCACTGACAGAAATAAGAATAGACTTAGGATGAAAGGCTGAAAGAAAATTTACCAAGACAATGGCCCTCCAAAACAGGCAGGATTCCAAGATGGTGGCCAGAGGGAGGAAGCAGAAAGCGAACCTCCTATAGTGAAATCTTGGAGAGATGCTGGAGACACACTTTGCAGGCATAATCACTGAGAAGAGGCATAACATTGACCCCTCCACACCTCCAGCCAGCGCAGAGAATCTCCACTTCACATTAAACGGAGAAACCAGGAGGGCTCCCGGGCCACCAGTCGCCCACGCCCAGATGGCTTGGGAAGATGCGGACCAGGTGAGCTTCGTGGTACTACGGTACTCCCACAGACAAGCCTGGGCCAGAACAGCATAGCCCCTGGACAGACTAATCTCCACCTGGGGAAAAAAGAGAAACTGAGTAATAAGCAATAAGAACAAATAAGACATGTGGGAAAGAGGGTGGGGCACACTGAGCACTGAAGATTGGGGGAAGGGAATCCTTCCCGGGACTGTAAATAAACAAGCTGGGTGGGCCGGAGAGGCTCTGGCAGGAGCGGGGGCAGGGTGCACACCCAGCAACCAGGAGCAGCAAAGCTGATGAGAGTGGTGGAGGGAGGAAAACTCCACAGGAGAGGAGGGAAGACCCACTGCCCACGTGCACTGTAAACAAACATGGCGGCTGGCAGGAGCAGCAGCACCGCCCAGTAATCAGGAACAGGAAAGCTTGTGACAGTGGCAGTGGGAGGAAAACTCCACAGGAGGGGGGGAAGACCCACCTCCCACACGAACTGTAAATAAACATGCAGGCCTGACAACATGGGTGCAGTGTCACTTTTCCCAGTGTGCTTGGAAAGGGGAAAGCTTGTAGCAGAGGCTCCAGCACAGGAGAACTCTGAACAAACAAAGCCTGCGGGGCCAGGTGAGTGCTAAACTCACCCCAGAGATCTGCATAAACTACTCTGGATTTAGTAGGTATAGGTAAGAACTTTTTCAACAAAACCCCAGCAGCACAGCAACTAAGAGATAGTATAGATAAATGGGACCTCATAAAACTAAAAAGCTTCTGTTCATCAAAAGAAACGGTCTCTAAACTGAAGAGAACACCTACAGAGTGGGAAAAATATTTGTCAGCTTACATCAGACAAGGACTGATAACCAGAATATATAGGTTACTAAAAAATAAATTCTCCCAAAACTAATGAACAATAAGAAATGGACAAGTGAACTAACAGAACTTTCTCAAAAGAAGAAATTCAAATGGCCAAGAACACATGAAAAAATGCTCACCATCTCTAGCAATAAAGGAAATGCAAATTAAAACCACGCTAAGATTCCACCTCACCCTGTTAGAATAGCCATCATTAGCAACACCACAACAGGTGTTGGTGAGGATGCGGGGAAAAAGGAACCTCTTACACTGTTGGTGGGAATGTAGACTAGTAAACCACTCTGGAAAAAAATTTGGAGGCTACTTAAAAAGCTAGACATTGATCTACCATTTGATCCAGCAATACCACTCTTAGGGGATATACCCAAAAGACTGTGACACAGGTTACTCCAGAGGCACCTGCACACCATGTTTATTGCAGCACTATTCACAATAGCCAAGTTATGGAAACAGCCAAGATGCCCCACACTGACAAATGGATTAAGAAAATGTGGTACTATACACAATGGAATTTTGCAGCCATGAAGAAGAACGAAATGTTATCATTTGCTGGTAAATGGATGGAATTGGAGAACATCATTCTGAGTGAGGTTAGCCTGGCCAAAAGACCAAAAATCTATGTTCTCCTCATATGTGGACATTAGATCAAGGGCAAACACAACAATGGGGATTGGACTTTGAGCACATGATAAAAGCGAGAGCACACAAGGGAGGGGTAAGGATAGGTAAGACACCTAAAAAATTAGCTAGCATTTGTTGCCCTCAACACAGAGAAACTAAAGCAGATACCTTAAAAGCAACTGAGGCCAATAGGAAAAATGGACCAGGAACTAGAGAAAAGGTTAGATCAAAAAGAATTAACCTAGAAGGTAACACACAGGCACAGGAAATTAATGTGAGTCAACTCCGTGTATAGCTATCCTTATCTCAACCAGCAAAAACCCTTGTTCCTTCCAATTATTGCTTATACTTTCTCTACAACAAAATTAGGAATAAGGGCAAAATAGTTTCTGCTGGGTATTGAGGGGGTGGGGAGAGGGAGGGGGTGGAGTGGGTGGTAAGGGAGGGGGTGGGGGCAGGGGGGAGAAATGACCCAAGCCTTGTATGCACATATGAATAATAAAAAAAACAAAATAAAAGCAAACCCTGGAGAAATCCAAAAAAAAAAAAAAAGATTTCACCTCACCCCTGTTAGAATAGCCATCATCAAAAACACCACCACCATATGTTGGCGTGGATGTGGGGAAAAAGGAACCTTGGTACACTGCTGGTGGGAATTCAAGCTGGTGCAACCTCTGTGGAAAAACAATTTGGAGGCTTCTTAAAAATCTAAACACAGACCTGCCATATGATCCAGCAATCCCACTCCTAGGGATATACCCAAAGGAATGTGACTCAGGTTACTCCAGAGGTACTTGCACACCCATGTTTATTGCAGTGCTATTCACAATAGCCAAGTTATGGAAACAGCCAAGATGTACCAATACTGATGAATGTATCAAGAAAATTTGGTATTTATACAGAATGGAATCTTAATCAGCCATGAAGAAAAATGAAATCTTATCATTTGCAAGTAAATGGATGGCACTTGAGAACATCATCCTGAGCAAAGTTAGCCAGGCTCAGAAGACCAAAAATCGTATGTTCTCCCTCATATGTGGACTTTAGATCTAGGGCAAATACAGCAATGTTGTTGGACTTGGGTCACATGACAATGGGAGAACACATACAGGAGGTATGGGGATAGGTCGAAAACCCAAAACAAAGCATTTGATGTCCCCACAGCAGAGGAACTAATACAGAAACCTTAAAGTGACAGGTTAACATGAGAAGGAGTTCGGTAACCAGTGTAAAGATCAGTTAGAGATGATTCAACATGGGTTCTAACATGGGTACACGATAGCAATGCTAGGAATACTTCTGTATAGCTATCCTCAACTCAACTAGCAGAAACACTTTGTCTTCCTTATTATTATTATGTTTTTTCTTCAACAAAATTAGAGCTAAGGACAGAACAGGTTCTGCCTCGAAGTGAGGGGAAAGTAAGGGAGAGGGTGGTGGTGGGAGGCAGGGGGTAGAAATGACCCAAACAATGTATGCACATGTGAATAAATGAATAATTAAAAAAATGATTGTTTTGATAAATATAACAAAGCAAACCATTCTTGATATTATGAGAGAGAGGGGGAGAGAGAGAGGAAGGAAGTGAAGGGAAGGGGGAGGGAGAAAGAGACAGAAAGAAAGCTTAACAAATGTGGCTGAGCTTTGTTTGGCCTTAATTTTATAGAGCAGTTAAAGTCAACAAAGTGAAAACTTCCAATAAGTCCTGGAAATTTCTACTTCCACAATGTGATCAAATAATTAACAGCATTCTTTGAGTCCCAGAATAATTGGTGCTTTTATAGTTATTTCTCAAAGAGTGTTTTCAGTGCTCTCTTGATGTCCTTATTTCTCAGACTGTAGATAAAGGGGTTCAACATGGGGGTGACCACAGTGTACATCACTGAGGCTGTTGAACTTGAGTGTGAGTTTTGGCTGATAGCAGAACTGAGGTACACTCCTAAAAGTGTAGAATAAAATAAGGATACAACTGAGAGGTGAGAAGCACAGGTAGAAAATGCTTTATATTTGCCCTGAGCTGATGAGATTGCTTGGATGGAGGAAACAATTTTGGAGTAAGAATATAGGATTCCAGTGAGGGGACCAACACCCAGCAACCCAGCTGTGAAATTCATCATAACATTATTAAGAAGAGTGTCAGAACAGGCAAGGTGGGCCAACTGGTTAGGTTCACAGAAGAAGTGTGGGATTTTCACCTCTGTGCAGAAGGATAGATGCAAAACCATGAAGCTTTGTAACAAGGAATTCAGGGCACTTGTGATCCAGGACACCAGCACTAGCAACCAACAGAGCTGGGGCTTCATGATGACTGTGTAGTGCAGAGGGTGACAAATGGCCACAAAGCGGTCGTAGGCCATCACAGCCAGGAGGAAGTTGTCTAGCACTACAAATAATACAAAAAAATAAATTTGGATGATGCAGCTTTTATAGGCGATGGCCTTGCTGTGTGTCTGGATGTTTACCAGCATCTTTGGGATGGTTGTAGAGGTGAAGCAGATGTCCACAAGGGACAGGTTGGAGAGGAAGAAGTACATGGGTGTGTGCAGTTGGGGATCCACAATTGTGGCTAGAATGATGAGAAGGTTCCCAAACACAGTGACCAGGTACATAGAGAAGAAAATTCCATACATGAGGAGCTGTACTTCAGGGTCCTCTGAAAATCCCAGAAGAAGAAATTCTGAAATTCTGGTGTAATTTCGTGATGCCATTGCTACATTTGAATACAAAAAAGAGAAAAATAATCTGATTACTCTTGGTATGAGATGTTCATTTTGATGTCTCCCTGTGCAAAGTCAGGGTGGTCTCTAGGATGAACAAGAGGGAAGAGAGGGAGAGATCTGAAAATGTGGAGTTAAAGAGATGGTCTCCCTGCTGCCAGAGAAACTGAAATATTTTCAAGATGTAGAGTCCTTCTTTTCACATTTTTACTGTTCTCTGTTTTGAGCAGTCTCATTGAGTTTAGTGAATACATGAATAACTACACATAAACAGTATCAGTTGTGCTTAGACATGCAAACTCTGGTCACACCATCACCACAATCACTTTTATAGACACAGCCATCACTTCCTGGAGTGTCCTCATTCTCCTTTTGTCTTTTGTTCTATTGTTTATTATGGGAGTACAAACACTTAATATTAGATCCATCCTTCTAGGTAAATTTTGTAGTGCAAAAAAATCATATTGTTAGTGCTAGGCACTATGTTGTATGGCATGTGTCTAGAAATTAATCAGCTCATACAGAAGTAACTTTATACCCTTCAATAAACAACTCCATGTTTCTCCTCCCCCATGCCCCTGACTCAACCACTTTATTCTGTGCTTCTGCGAATCTGACTACTTCAGACATCTCATTGAATCTTGCAGTATTTTGATTTCAAAGGCATTTTGTGGGTCAGAGTAGATCCTTCCTAAGTTCCTTCTTTGTTTAGCCTTTACAAGAACAAATACTATAAGTCAACATTCTTGATGAACACAGATGGAAAGTCCTCAATAGAACACTAGCAAAATGAAATCAGCAATCAGCAGCATGTTATGTGGATTATTTCCAGTTGGAATATATGAACTCAGGAACTCTGGCTATGAGGACTGCTAGTCTATGGCAATCTCTATAAAAATCCTGCAAATATGTCATTACAATCTATTTTCTTTTTCACAAGCTTCATTCCTGTGATGTTTATGCCATATATAGATTCATATGCCATATATAGATGTTTTTTGTTTTTTACCCTGGATATTACACTGTAAATATTCAATGGACCAAGTATTCAGTTTTATGTTTTCTCAAAGGTGAAAATATTTTAGAAAATGTGTTAACAATTAAGAATTTAAGGGCTTAAATGAAAACAATGATGATGCAAATAAGTGGATTTTAAAAATTGTTTTATTATTCATATGTGCATAAAAGGCTTGGGTCATTTCTCCCCCTGCCCCCACCCCCTCCCTTGCCACCCACTCCGTCCCCTTCCTCTCCCCCCCACACCCTCAATACCCGGCAGAAACTATTTTGCCCTTAACTCTAATTTTGTTGAAGAGAGAGTATAAGCAATAATAGGAAGGAACAAGGGTTTTGCTGGTTGAGATAAGGATAGCTATACAGGGAGTTGACTCACATTAATTTCCTGTGCGTGTGTGTTGCCTTCTAGGTTAATTCTTTTTGATCTAAACTTTTCTCAAGTTCCTGGTCCCCTTTTCCTATTGGCCTCAGTTGCTTTTAAGGTATCTGCTTTAGTTTCTCTGCATTAAAGGCAACAAATGCTAGCTAATTTTTTAGGTGTCTTACCTGTCCTCACACCTCCCTTATGTGCTCTTGCAAATAAGTGGATTTAAAGCAACTCTTATCAAATGAAATTGAATAAAAATTGAAAATAAATTCTAAATGAAAATAGCTAAAAGAACAATAAATTACTTCCACCAATGTAAGGATCTTATGTAGATTTAATTAACAAACTCCTGTAAATAAAATAATAGATATTTTATCAAAAGTGGAAGAAACAGTATTGAAAGTTATTTCATTGTACATAACTGCAAATGGACTCAATTGTGCTTTTGACATGGACTCTAATGACAATTACGAAATGAAATAATAACCATAGTTAATATGTCCTACTAGCCCTTTGAGAGTCCTTCCCTTGCATGAGAGCAGTTGTGGTACATGCATTATCTCACTCATTCTCCACAGTGACCTCAGGATGCTGTTGAACATTGTTCACAAATAGAATCACTATAAAGACAGTGACTTTTCTACATGCAAAAACGTATATGTAAAGACTGTAGGTGATCTTTGTTTGAAGACAAAAGAATATGTTCTACAAGATGGCAGAAGATGATGGCTACTTATAAGAACAGAACCAATCACAGAAATCGAAAAGTTTGTAATAAGGAAAAACAGATAGCAAAGGGTATAAATAAACTAATTATTACTGATCATGCAGAAGAACTTTCTAAATTGAACAAGCAAGTGAGGGATTGTGTCATCAATGAGATTGACTTATTTGACCACACAAGCAGTAACTTTTATATACTCTCCAAATGTATTTATACATACATACCGAATGAAGTGGCAATCAGAAAACCTAGCGAAAAACATGTCTAATTATTCCATAGAAAAATTATATTCAACTGATAACAAACACAGTCTCTATAAAAGGAAAGAATTTGTCAGATGAATTTAGAATTGCAAAGAGAAAAAAACCCCTAAATAGCCCCAAAGTGTATTCAATTTGAGCAATAACAAAGGAATTATAAGATAAATCTCTTCAGTTTTCCCATTTACCAATTAAATAGAACTTATTTATTCCTGTGGATCCCTAGCATGAAAGAAGACATGAAGGAATGTGTCTCATTTTAACTGTTGTTCAAAAGCAGCAATCCATTAGTCTGTTCTTTGTAAGAAATGTAGTCCCAGTCTTACATTAAACTACATATTAAAAGTTAAAGGAATATGCTCTTATTCGCTATATATTCTTCCATACCTGAAACTTAATTTTCCTCCTCTCTAATTGCAAAACTCCTTGGGCATGTTGTATTTTATGGAGAATTCTTTATGCCACTTCTTCATTCAGTCTCATCCAATTAGACTTCCATTCTCATCACATAATTGTCAATAATGATGTATGTATTGCAGAGTCTATAATCATTTCTTTTAAAAAATATTAAGTAAGCTGCCAATTAATTAGTCACCTAAGCAAAGAAACACAGTGATCTCTCAGATCTGGGCTAGGCTGGGTTAGCCCTTAGGTGACACCAGATAAACTTTGTCAGCTTCAATTGTTGCTACACCTCTCCCACAGTACCTACCAGGTTCCCAGACTCAACTGGATGTGGGTTCTGAGTAGAAGATCGCTATGTTCAAGTTGGATTCTTCCCTGGATGGTTTTATGATGGAGACTAAAACTCTGTCCCTGACAAGACTGAAGGAGGGAGTAAGGCATTGGCTAGCCAGTCTTTGAAATAGAATGACCATATGCTATCTAGTCCAAGATTTTATCTTCGGAGGGACATCATCAGTGGAAGTATTTATATTCCCTACCTGCTAATTAGGTACATTTCCACTAGTTATTTAACACTCATGCAAACAAGATTTCCCTGTGGGATATTGGTCAAAACAGAAAGGAAAATTTTCTACCTCATTTTGTGTTCTCAGGAGACCAGGATAGAAATGAAGTAAATCCAGTATTCATTATTCCATCTCTATAAAATCTCCTGCCTTCCTGAAATCTAACTTCCTTAGCACTTTTGTCCAGTCTTTACTTCTATTTTTGTTCAATGTCTGAGATACCTGCCTTACAATGGCAAAGCTCTAACATGTGGAGAGGACACAGCTCCTAATAGCTCCAGAAAATTATTTTTCCCTCTCCAATGATGGAGGTAATTGTTTTGACTTATTTTAGGATCTTAGGACATTAGTAAAACCCAGGGTTTGGCTCTCTCTTTACAAAGATATAGAGGTTCTATACTTGGAATAAAAGTTAGCAATTTTCATTAGGATTTTAATTTATTAAAGAATTGAGAGTTATAAGAAATATATTTAGATAGTATTAATGCACCACGGAGTGAAGTTAGAATCTGAGGATTTTCTTGCATAATCTTCACACATGTTCACTATATGATATCAATACTATCACACACTCACTTTCATTAGAGAATTGAGGCTGAGAGGGGCTCAGTGATCTGCCCACAAAAATGAACTGAGTATGGACAAGCTTTGTTTTGAATTCCATCAGTATGTCCCCAGTTCTCATAGTCTTAGTAAATGGTCCTCCTCCAGGGAGATAAAACACCTACTTGGCAATGCATTCAGAAAACTCTGGCTGCTACAACTGGGGAGGTGGTGCTGTCCCTAGTGGATTGAAACCAGGGATACTGCTCAACCTTCTCAGACGCACAGCACAGGTCATCACAAAATATCACCTAGCACAAATGTCATCAGTGGGGATGATGTGAAACACTACCACATAACAGATCCTCTCCTACTTCCATGTGAATGTGGATCACTTGAGAAGTTGTTGAAGTGCAGGTTGTGAGTTGGCAGGTGTAGTGTGGTCCTGAGATTCTGCATTTGGAATGTGCTCCAGTCCCAGTGTATGCTCCACTTTTTAAACTTCCTTTTGTGGTACTGGAGTTTGAACACAGGGCTTACACCTTGAGCCACTCAACCAGCCCTTCTTTGTGGTGGGATTTTTCAACATAGGATCTCATGAACTATTTGAAGTGGCTAGATGTGATCTACAATCCTCCTCATATCTGCCTCCTGAGTAGTTAGGATTAGAGACTTGAGCAACGGTACCCAGCCACTCTTTTTTCTTGAATAGATGACATTGCATCCATTTCTGCTGTGTAAAAGAAAGTTTTGTCATGGATGTAGTTTGTGGAATCACTATATATAGCTAGTTCAAATGTGTAGTACTTCACATGATCATCATTTTTGTGGTAGAAACTCTTAACCTAAAAACTCAGTATTTCTCAAGAATACAATAGCTTGTTAATTGTAATCACCAGATTCTATAGTACAGTTGATCGTACTTCTCATATATGACTGTAATTTTGTATCCTTTGACCAAAATCTCTACAAAAACACAACACCAAACACCTCAGTCCCTCATAAACATCATTCCAGCCCTTATTTCTATGAGATCTACATTTTAGAGTCCAGATATAACAGAGATTATGTGACATTTTTTTTGTCTTCCTTACTTCACTTAACATAAT